CGCTACTTTTTGATTTTGCATGTGCACGGCTGGGATTCGAACCTCGGACCTTCAGGTTGCTAGCCTGTCGGTGCGACCGCTCGGCCACCATGCCGACATCAACTTAATTTTTGATGAAAATGTTGAAATGGAACTTGTAACAGCAAATGACAAGTGAAAACAAAGTCACACCGGTGTTTTCTACCAACATAACAATGTCTAGTTACCCCGTTAGGTTGGCAGCAGTATTACGTCACTTGAGACACTTTCAGATGCCACACAGAACAAGCCATATAGCACAGCCCACGCAAAGTTGCCCTCAAGATACGAAAATAGATGTGGAAATTTTGAAAAATCACGTAAATAAATTTCACACCGTGTATGAAACATTTTTTTAATGAAATATATAAGAAACTGTTACATACTATGGTATTCTACAGGTGGAAAGTGGTAAGTAAGGGCGCTTATAAGGTAAAATCTAAACGAGTTGCACAAATTCTGCTAAAGGATAATCCTAAAAGTCTCAACTACCCGACGGTCTAATGAAACAAAAAGAAAAACCGTGTCAACAATGCGTTATAAATTCTCCATATAATTCAATACAAATGTAAAGTCATCTTTTATGTATAAATAAGGTTTTCAACAAACGATTACAGCCATCGTCTCGACTATTCGGTTTGTAATTAAGGGACGTTTTACAACACTAAAGATGGACTTCGGGAAACGCCATGCAGACAGTGACCGCCTCCACTAGGCGGTGAACAACCAAGATTGTCGCGGGTTTAGGTTCTACGGGACTTAAAAGCTAGAAAGGCGAAAAGGGAAGAATGATTTAGACAAGGTGTTTGCCTGAAAAAGCTCAACACCAACCACACAGTATAAAACGTTTAGGACTCGCTCACATTCAAACTGCCCGGAGCCCGGAGCATTTGATTTAGAATTAGTAATATCAAAGTTTGCCTTAAGTGTATTTTGTCGACATTCAGGGTCCCTTTTGTGCGTTGAAGAAGCGCTTGAGGCAGAAAATTCCCCTTTTCAACGATAGAATGATTTTTGCGTTAAATTCCTAGTCTGATTAAGGCAAGAGTATTATGGTTCAAGGTGGATCAGAAGCAACCTCTCCAGATACAAGAAAGTGGAGGATAATTAATCGCTTAGTCGCAGCACTGATAGTTCGCTAATATAAAAATAAACTTTGAGCATTTTCCATTACAGCCAACTAAAATAAAACACAGCTCTGAACTCAACACTGGCGGCTTAAATAAAATTAATATCAATAAAAGGAACATCTCACCTAATCTTTATCGTCTTAGCTTAAGTAACACAAATATTGCTGGACAGACTAATATATCGATGTTTACCAACACACGACTACTTTCTATTACTTAACATTACAAAAATAAAAAAGTGCGCTTTCCTTCGCGGCCGTTGTTACTGTCTGCCAGTCGGCGGCAGTCCCCCCATCTTCTGCGACCTGCATAACAAGTTGCTTGTCCACATATGTCTACGTTTCGAGAAGTTTGCTACATCATCAGGGCTAGAGATCAGTTTAAGAGCAACCAGAAACAAGGAACATTTATTTTTACAAACTTTTTTTTGGGTATTTCGCCTCAAAAATTTTTGTCTTTAAAAAAAGACAAAATTTCCTCACGTCTTTTATTACAGATTGATAAATAGTGCTCCTATTTCGCAATAAGAACGAATTATTTATCAAAAAGTAATCA